GGGACGTGGGGATTTGGGGACGTGGGGATTTGGGGACGTGGGAATTTAGGGCCGTGGGGATTTCGAGACGTGGGAATTTGGGGACGTGGGGATTTCGGAACGTGAGAATTTGGGGACGTAGGTATTTGCCAATGTGAGGATTTCGAGGCGTAGGTATCTAGAGATGTGAAAATTTGGGGATGTAGTGACTTGGGGACGCAACTACTTAGAAATATAAGGATTTGGACATGTAGGGATTTGAAGATGTGACGTAGTTACTGAAGGACATAGCTACTTGAAGATGTAGTTATTGAAGACATATGAATCTGAAGATATAGATGTTTGGATATGCAGCTATTTGAGGAACCAATCCAAATACCTACGTTCCTAAACCCAAGTCTGGGTATCCATTTGGGAATCCAAGTATGTGAAAACATAGACCTGTAAATATCTAAAAATGTTAAACTCTAAATGTTTATCTGGTCCTAAAGAATGCACTGATTTGAAAGGATAAGCGTGACTGAAATGAAGTGCGCAGTGTCACGTTGAGCCAACAAGTGCAGTTGAACTTAAAGACAGACAGATTTCATTAGATCGTAAACCGGTCGATTACTTTCCATTACAGCCAGCTGACCTGGCCAAATGGAAGCAAGTAGCCGCCAGATTCAGCGAATTAATTACCGAAGCTCCTGAGCAACTGCAGCTGAATGAAAATCGATCGTATGACGTAGAATCAACGGGTGTAACCGACGGAAGTGAGGAGAACGTAAGAAACAGAAACGTCCTTATGGTCTAACGAAAAATATAAAAACTGGCTCAAATTACCCTGTGTAAAAAGCAAAGTCCTAGTCACGTCAAGTAATTATCCTTCGTCATCTTATTTTCAATAAAGAGAGAAAGAAACAATGGAATTCTTGATGTCGCTCGAAAATTTATCATCTTTTTTTTTCTCGCTTTCTTTTACCCTGTCTCTATTGAATAAACCCGTTAATGGAACAGACGGCACCGGAAGATCTGGCATACCTTGCAAATCCGTATTACGCCAGTAAGTATGAGATTATCGAGATTTTTTTAATTTAATCGTTCGCTTAATCCCTTCACTTATTTTTTATCAATTATTCGGCGGGATTATCTTTCCTGCTCTACAAATTCCTTATTCTTTAATTTCCTAACTCTTCAAATTTCCCGCGCTTTAATTTCCCAACTCTTCAAATTTCCCACTCTTTAATTTCCCAACTCTTCAAATTTCCCACTCTTTAATTTCCCAACTCTTCAAATTTCCCACTCTTTAATTTCCCAACTCTTCAAATTTCCCACTCTTTAATTTCCCAACTCTTCAAATTTCCCACTCTTTAATTTCCCAACTCTTCAAATTTCCCACTCTTTAATTTCCCAACTCTTCAAATTTCCCACTCTTTAATTTCCCAACTCTTCAAATTTCCCACTCTTTAATTTCCCAACTCTTCAAATTTCCCACTCTTTAATTTCCCAACTCTTCAAATTTCCCACTCTTTAATTTCCCAACTCTTCAAATTTCCCACTCTTTAATTTCCCAACTCTTCAAATTTCCCACTCTTTAATTTCCCAACTCTTCAAATTTCCCACTCTTTAATTTCCCAACTCTTCAAATTTCCCACTCTTTAATTTCCCAACTCTCCAAATTCCCAACTCTTCAAATTTCCAACTTTGCAAATTCCCCACTCTCTAATTTCCCATCTCCCCAAAGTCCCCACTCTCTAATTTCCCAACTCTCCAAAGTCCCCACTCTCTAATTTCCCAACTCTCCAAAGTCCCCACTCTCTAATTTCCCAACTCTCCAAAGTCCCCACTCTCTAATTTCCCAACTCTCCAAAGTCCCCACTCTCTAATTTCCCAACTCTCCAAAGTCCCCACTCTCTAATTTCCCAACTCTCCAAAGTCCCCACTCTCTAATTTCCCAACTCTCCAAAATTCCCAACTCTTCAAATTTCCAACTTTGCAAATTCCCCACTCTCTAATTTCCCATCTCCTCTTTAATTTCCCAACTCTTCAAATTTCCCACTCTTTAATTTCCCAACTCTTCAAATTTCCCACTCTTTAATTTCCCAACTCTTCAAATTTCCCACTCTTTAATTTCCCAACTCTTCAAATTTCCCACTCTTTAATTTCCCAACTCTTCAAATTTCCCACTCTTTAATTTCCCAACTCTTCAAATTTCCCACTCTTTAATTTCCCAACTCTTCAAATTCCCCACTCTCTAATTTCCCAACTCTTCAAATTCCCAACTCTTCAAATTTCCAACTTTGCAAATTCCCCACTCTCTAATTTCCCAACTCTCCAAAATTCCCAACTCTTCAAATTTCCAACTTTTCAAATTCCCCATTCTCTAATTTCCCA